AGGAAACTAAGAACGCTGGGCCAACATGGCCCAGGACCATGACAGATAGTTTATTTTGTTGTTGTTTATAATCTGTGCCAGTGGGAGCATGTAGATGTTAAACAGAAGGGGTCCCAAGATGGAACCTTGGGGAACTCCACATGTGATACTTGTCTGCTCAGATGTGAAGTTACCTATTGATAAAAAGTATTTCCTGTTTTCTACGTATGTTTTGAACCAGTTTAGTACAGTTCCTGAAAGACCTGTCCAGTTCCCCAGTCGTTTGAGTAATATGTTGTGGTCAACTGTATCAAATGCTGCACTGAGATCCAGTAAAACTAGGACTGACATTTTTCCACTGTCTGTATTCAGACATATGTCATTAAACACTTTGGTCAGAGCGGTTTCAGTGCTGTGGTTCTGTCTAAAACCTGACTGGAAGGCATCGTAGCAATTATTCTGTTTTAAGAAGTAACTGAGCTGTTGAGAAACTGCTTTTTCAATGATCTTACTTAAAAACGGGAGATTTGAGATTGGCCTGTAGTTGTTCATTTGTGTCTTGTCAAGATTGTCCTTTTTCAGTATAGGTTTGATTACAGCACTTTTTAGTGATTCTGGAAACACACCTGATAATAAAGAAAAGTTGACGATCTGTAACAGGTCTGACTCTAAAGTCTTTGAGACCTTTTTGAAAAAACTTGTTGGCAGGACATCTAAACAGCAGGAGGAGGAGTTCAGTTGACCTAAGATGTCCTCCAGGTCTTTGCTGTTAATAGGTTGAAACTGTTTCATGGTGTTTAAACAGTTTTTTGGTGGACACAGTACATATCCTGGATCTGCTGTTGATGTACCAATTGCTTGTCTAATTTTTTGGATTTTTTCTGTGAAGAATTTGGCAAAGTCATTGCAGGCCATGGTCGAATGAAGTTCAGGTGCCACTGACACAGGAGGGTTTGTTAGCCTGTCAACTGTAGAAAATAAGACCCGAGCATTATGGCTGTTTTTAGTGATGATGTCAGAGAAGTAGGACCTCCTTGCATTCCTCAGTTGTAAATTATAATTGTGAAGTTTCTCTTTATAAATGTCATAATGAACCTGGAGGTTTGTTTTTCTCCATCTGCGCTCAGCTTTCCTACACTCTCTTTTTTCTTTTTTCACCAGTGTGGAGTTTCTCCATGGAGACTTTTTCCTTCCAGAGATAACCTTCACCTTAATGGGAGCAATAGTGTCCATTACATTTAACATGTTAGCATTGAAGCTATTGACGAGCTCATTGACTGACCCTCTGGGCAGGTCAGGTGTTAATGGGAAGACCTGGTTAAAAATTGCACTACTGTGTTCAGTTATACACCGTTTTGTGATCACTGTTGTTGATATATTTGTGTGGGCTGAGATTTTACTTTCAAAGAAAACACAGTAATGATCAGACAGGCCCACATCAGACACAGTAACCTTTGAAATGCTCAGGCCTTTGGAGATCAGTAGGTCAAGAGTGTGTCCTCTATTATGTGTGGCCTCTGTTACATGCTGAGTCAGCCCAAAGTTGCCCAGAGTGTTACTCAGGTCTTTAGTCCCTTTGTCCTGAGGGTTGTCCACATGAATGTTAAAATCCCCAGCAATAATTACACAGTCGAAATCAACACAGATCACAGACAGCAGTTCACTGAGGTCATTAAAAAAGTCTGTGCAGTATTTGGGAGGCCTGTAAACATTAAGAAACACAACTTTGGATGGGGCCTTCAGCTGTAAAGCCACATATTCAAAAGACTGAAAACTTCCAGGAGATAGCTGCTTACATTGAAATGATTCATTAAATAAGACAGCAACCCCTCCTCCTCTCCTGCTCGCCCTGACCTCACTGATAAAACTGTAGTTAGGAGGGGTCGTCTCGATGAGAACAGCTCCACTGTTACTTTGGTCCAACCAAGTTTCAGTTAAAAACATAAAATCAAGGCTGTGCTCAGTGATTAAATCATTAATTAAAAATGTTTTCCCAGCTAGAGATCTAATGTTTAATAAAGCCAACTTAAGTGTTTTAGAGGTATTACTTGTCCCCTCGTGTTTGGGAGCAGTCTGTGGCACACAAGGTATGTTTACTATGTTTAAAGATCTTTTAGAGTGCAGCTCTCTGTGTTTTGACCAGGCCACATGTCTCCTGTCACCTAAAAGTACAGAAATTTTAAAACCTTCTAGTAAACAGGGTCCCAGCTTCTCCTGGGAAAAGTCATCACTGCCATAATCCTCACAGCCCGGACCCTTCACACATCACGCATCAGACTGCGGAGACAGGGCATGAAGAGGAACTAAGGGGGGCGAGGCTGGGCAATGTGACTTCGATTGCTCTGTTGAGGGTGGGGCTCGATGGCGAACCTTTGGCCGCTCTGGTGGGGGTTTATGGGGGACAAAAAGGGATTGGGACGGGGGGTAGATCTGAGCCCAGCATTGACCCGCTCCATCATCTCCTCAGTGAATTTCAGGTGTGGGGAGGAGGGAGAAAGGGAGGGGGAGGAGGGTGATGGCCTGTCAGGGGTTTGGGGGACTGGGGAAGGTCGTGGTCCCTTGTCCTGGTCGTTGGTGTTGTTGAGAGAGTTGGAGGCAAATAGGGACCCCTCTTCTTGCCTTAGATGTCTCTCCTTTCTGAGGCTCTTCCTCAGATGCCATGGATGTCTCTCCTTTCTGAGGCTCTTCCCGGGTGGGGGCAAATGGAGCTCCTCCTCAAGGTTTCTGCTGGGCTTTGTCTGTTCTTGGAGTAATGTTTGTTCCTCTTTATGAGATAACTCCTCGTTTATCTCAGCCTTGGCACCAAGCACGGATGGATGACGTATGGAATAAAACAAGTTGGAGGTGAACAGTTTCACCCCTGACTTGTTAAAATTAAATCCATTTGCTTTGAACAGATGCCTGCGTTCCCAAAAAATATTAAAGTTGTCGATAAAGTGCACTGAGTGGTCAGCACATGCTGATATAAGCCATTTATTCAGTGTAAACAACCTGCTGAATCTCTCGTCTCCTCCTCTGACCGGCGGTACAGGTCCACTGATGAATACAGCTGCATTCAGAGAGTTTACAGTACTTAATAATCCAGTAAAGTCCCGTTTCAGAACCTCCGACTGTTGTTTGGACACCGTTTGACCCTGTATGCAGAACAATGTTTGTCACAGTTGGATATTCATCTGCAATTTGAAGAATTCTCTCCTTCAGAATTCTTCTCTGCTTTCCGTTAGGAAAGCAGAGGACTTTAGTGTTCTTACCGCACATCCTTTGTACATCCTTTACGGCAGAGTCACCCACAATCAGAGTTTCAGGCCTAGCCTTTAGCTTTCCCTGTGGCCTTTCACTTTTCAACAGATTTTCAGACCTTATTTCGCTGCTTTTAGATGGATGGTTGTCCGATATAGATCCAGGGTCCTTTGATAGTGGAGCAAATCTGTTCTGCAGTTTCACATTCAGTTGTTTTGGAGGTTTGTTGTTAACCTTCCTATTCACGGTTGTCCAGTCCTGTTTCCTCCCGTATATAGGGGTAGAAGAGCTTCTCTGTCTCGTAGGAAGTGAAGGCCAGTCGGTTTCAGAGATTTCAGCTCGCTGTGCCCTGCCTGTGATACGTCCTCCCCCTTCCAGGAGACATGATTTATGTCTTGGTTTTGCACCAAGACAGTCTAAGGGGGGATTATCACTTGAGGATTTATAATAATGCACAGAGTCTACTTTCTTGGTCATGTTATCTGTGCTCCTTAGCTGTGTACTAGCTTGCTCATCGCCATTGTTTTGAATCAAAGGCAAGGTTGTTTCATTTCCACACAGTCCATTTACCTCCACGTTTACTTCTAAGCGATGAATTTTTGTCTCCAGTACTGCAATCTTCTGCAGGAGGCTGTGGTAGTCATCTGTGGAGAGGGAAGGCATCTTGTTGCTAGTTAGCCTAGCGGTTAGCACCTTTCCAGGCTATTGAGGCTGCTCGGTGCCCAGACGCTGTAATCAGGCTTCAGCTGTGTCTAGGCCACAGACACACGGAGCGCTGAGGACAAGGTAACCATAAAATGTTGCTGTTTCTGTTAAGAACACTCAAGTCCTAATGATCTACAAGTGTCCAGAAGTAATCGCAGGTAAGCTCACACGGAAAAAAGGGAAAAAATCAGCATAAAAATCAATAAAAATCAATATAAGAAGCAAAGCATTCAAGAGCAAAGAGATGAAGTGTCCACACTCACAAAGGGGAGGAGCTAAAGAGTACTCTGTAAAATGCCAGAATAGGAAGGATGGAGAAGGTTTAAGTTTATTAGATTGATCAGTATTGCTGAACTATGAAATATTTTGGGTGCAGTGTATTTTTTACATACAGGTATAACAGAATAGCTTTAGTGTTGTTGTTTATTGAAACTTGAGTATGAACTTATACAAAATGCAGCAATATATTTAAAAAAACAGTTTTATTGAATAAAAAAACACACTAATATTCATATCGGTATCGGCCGATATCCAAATTTATGATTTCGGTATCGGACATAAAAAAGTGGTATCGTGCCATCTCTAATATGTATATAGATTTTGACATCTGTCAGTCATTTACACTGGTCTGCAATTTCTGCAGAGTATTAGTATTAGTATGCTCAACAATGACTATAATGGCCACTGCCTGGAAAACAAAGGAGATTTTGACCCCTGTGAACATCATCTAAACACTCTTTTCGTTTTCATGAATACTCAGATTGTAATAACAATGTCAAAAAGGTGTACACAGCCCACTCAGTGATGAAGTAAGTCAACAAAGCGTGTCTGTGCCAGATTGCTTGGATGGATTAAGGTGTTAGGATCCTCCGCCCGTGATACCGTCTGTTTTTTTTTTTTTTGTCTTAGTTAGACAGAACTCCCAAGTGACTGAGTTTAATTCCCTCTTTCTCTGTGTCACTGTTGTCTCTCATCTGCTACTTCTATACTATCTACTATCTTTGCTTTCCTTGTCTTTCTTATCTCTCTTCTTGCTTGTTCTGTGTCTCCATCAACCTCTCTGCCTCTCAACACAGGTACCCACAGCCAGTCAGCAGCCATTCAGCTGAAGGAACCCCAGGGTGGAAAAAGCCAGCGAGCAGAAGAGCCCCTCCGAAGCCATCCTGGCACTCTCACCCAACCAAATTGGACTCCAGTTCTCCCAGCTCATGAGGAACCAATGGACCATGAGTTGCAGAGGGGGCAACTGAATTCTGAACCAAACCCAGGGCCTAACAAGAGGGCAATGGAAGATCTGGGGACTGAAGAAATAGTCAAGGTTGAAACAAGCATAAGAAAGATTAATGGACAAGATAGCGCAGGTGGGGCCTCCAGCTCCTACAGGCCAACTCGCAGGGGATTCCCAAGACCAAGCGCCCATAATCACTTTGACATAAACGAGCACCTGCCCTGGATGATTGTACTGCTGCTGCTGCTGGTGCTGGTGGTGATCGTAGTGTGTAGTGTGAAGCAGAGCTCTCAGGTGTTGAAGAAGGGCCCAATGCAGGACCCGAGCAGCATCATGGAGAAGGCAATTCAAAAGAAACCCCCTGCACCACTAACTCAAGTCCGAGAGAAGTGGATCTACTATGCCAACGGACAAGGTAAACCTACTGGATCTTTTGGTGTTGGAAACTGCTTTTCAACTGAGGTAGAAACACAGTTAGATCTTCAGAAGAGTCTCTAAGACTTTAAAATTGCACACATTCAATTATTTTGATAACTTGGGGTTTGGTGCTGAAGTTGTGGAACATAAAAATCTATCTCTATCATTTTCTCTCAGTTCGAGGGGTTAGGGTTAGGAGTTAGGGTCATTCAGTTAAAATTCAGCGACATGGATGAATAAAGGGAGAATTAATCATTTGATGTCAAGGTCAAGGTCAAGGTAACTTTATTTATACCCAAAGGCAAGGTAAATTTGCTTTACAGAAAAATGACAGCATTTGGCATCCCTTTAAAAACACACATACCTAGTAAATATATAAAGCTCACTGTGGCACATATATAGTAGTTTTGATATTTCGAATCAAAAACAGTTCTTATTTAATTCAGTGACAGCAACGGGGACAAAGCTATTTTTATAACGCTTGTGAATTTGGGGCTTCAAAGTTAATCTACTCCTAACCTTTAATCAAGTGACTGAAGAAACTACTAACATGACAGGGTCTTACCATGGCCATTGTGTTTTTTGTAAACTCAGCATTGTTTCTACTAAATGCTCTACATCTGCAGCTCACAGGAGGCTGCAGACTCTTAGTTACTCAGTGCATATCTCAGGCTAACGTTATAGCGTGCGTGAGTTCTGCTTGTGAACTGCGTAGATCCCCGTACCGATTCCACCCTCCCCTCCACAGTTTCTTATTGCCACTCTCTGTAGCTACAGATTGAGATGTAGGGTTGAATGTTTTCTACAAGTAGAAAACATTCAACCCTACAGCACAGATCTTGATTTCACACTGACTTAGGACAAGAGACCCAGACTCAGGGAACATATCCTGACAGAGACACTCAAGTCTCAAGTAGAAATCTGTGTATGTGTGCATGTAACCTTGTCTGTGTGTGTGTTCTTTGATCAAGCTGAGACATCCGCTACCCTCTCTCTGCTCCCTCATTGACTGACCACAGAGAACTGGAATAATCTGGTTTCAGCTGCATCAGAGTTGTTGTTTGGTTGGCAAGGAACATTAGTAGGTCAATCTGGTCTCTTACAGAGTGACAAAGAGATATATGGAGAAAAGGAAATGAAGAGGGAACGTGAGATAGTGCTGGGAGTTGTGTGTGTGTGTTGTTTGGAGGGGCTAAGGTTTGACACAGGAAGTGTTATACTGTTGCTGGCTAACCACATTGGGCTTTCCCTGCTGTTGCCTAGCAGCCCTGATACTTAAGATGCCTGTTATAGAAAGGAAAGGTAGGCAGTTAGAGAAACACAAGTACATTTTATGAAGCTATCAATTATCATTCAACTTTACAACTCCCAGCTTTACCAACATGGTAAATGTGATGGTCTTGAGTTGAGTCAAAGCATTTTTGACTTATACAGTTACTTCTTTTTAATACTCTTGATTTTTTAAAATATAAAAATAGCTCTTTCTTTTAGAAGTTCATACATTGAACAAATGAGTAATAGCAACAGTAGACTTAACTTTACAATTGTAGCAAATCCTCTGTGCTTATTTATAGTGGGTGGACCTAAAATAACCATAACGGCAACCGCCTGGCGAAGTTGGAAACAAAATATTTAAATAATGGCCAAAGTTTCAAAGATTGATGTAATCTCACAGCAAATCAAGATTCAGTATACTTTAAAAACTGTTTTCTATAGTTCATTATGAGTGCAGGAAGCCCCACCCAGCTGCTAACCTTGCTTTTTGGGTTTAAGCGGGAGGAGTGAAAAGGCCACCTGAGTGGCTGGGAGTCCCAGTTTGATATAAATAAGGATTATTATGGGTACTATGGATCATGCAGGTCTACTTTAATGTAAAAGAAGTTAAATTATGAGCTCCTGTTTTGGAGCTTGTTTTGTCTCTGTTGAATGTGCAAATAAGCAGTTAATTGCTGAAGTTTGTCATGTTAACTTTATATGGTAATAATAGTTTTGTGTTTACAGCTTGTCCTGATTCTGCCAAGTGACAAAAGAAAATGAAGAAACAAAAAAACCCCCAGTTAATTGTGCCTCATGTTGTTTTGTTTTATTTCAAATGGGTCTAAGATCAGATTATGTTTAACAGGAAATGATCTGGACTGTGTTACCGCCATGTTTCTCATTCCTGGATCTTGTAACCAAAAACCCTACTGGTGCTTAAACCGGACAAAACAAACATTGCCTTGACATGGCAATGTGAGTACATGTTAGTGTTCTTAAAAGAATGCTGACAGATAAACAGCACCTGCTAGAATAGATTGATGTCATAATCTACAACAACAGGTGTCCCCCGAGGATACAGTTCCTAAATGCACGACTATGGGCAAATCATTTGGAAAAAAAAAACTACTTGATGAAACTCATTAAACACATTAAAGTGAATAAAGTCTGGGTTTCAAATGAATCTGTTTAAATGATTCTGTGTTTTTGTGCATTATGTTTGTGTTCTCCTGATTAGATGAGTAATCCACTGCCCATGTGTATGCATTTAGGTGAAGATATACAGTGGGGCAAAAAAGTATTTAGTCAGCCACCGATTGTGCAAGTTCCCCCACCTAAAATGATGACAGAGGTCAGTAATTTGCACCAGAGGTACACTTCAACTGTGAGAGACAGAATGTTAAAACAGACCGTTCAATGGTGACCAGAACACTAAAGTAAGGGAGTTTGGAGTGCACACAACAGGAGGGCTATTAGTCATTATATTTTAAGCTAACAGATGCTTACATATCTAGCAACATTGTAGCCTTTGGCTCAGTGACACACAGCAACTGATCAGTTGGCAACCCCCTGGCAACATCTGGCAACTAGAGAAAAAAATTTATCTTCTAACTAGTTAGTGAGTAGGACTAGGCGATATGGCCCAAAATTCATATCTTGATATTCTTTAGCTGGATGTATGTCTCGAAGAAGATATATATTGAAGAAGGGATTTTTTGCCATAAAGTAAGAACAAAAAGAGTTCTTAGTCAAAGCTGTGTCTCAGATCTCAAACAGGCACTTTTATTAACATACAACGTAGATGTACATGAAATTACTCAGAAATAAATTATCAGCATTTATTAAATAATAATGCTCCATATATAAAATAAAAAATGTTGTTTTTGTGCATAACAAAAAGCTCACAATTGTGCATTCAAAATGTAAACTAAAAAGACGCTGAGCATAATAACAAAGACTGACAGATTTTGCAGCTGCTCTGTTCCCATGTTCTACTGCATGACTGACAGCCTTGAGTTTGAAATCCACTTCGTAACCATGTCTCTTAACAGGTGCCATTTGTAGTCCTTATACCCACACGATAATAATCCGCGCAATATTACGTTGAAGCACAGCACGTATTACTCCGCGAGGCTCCTGACTATGCCAGCCATATTGCTTTGACAATTAAGTAGTGCAGCTTCGTAGCTTGCCAAAGTCGTAATAAAACCTTTTTTGACAGATTTCAGAGCGCCGTGTACCACATAAAATCAGTTTTCGGTCAGTAAGCATAACCAGAATTCATACATAAGGCTCACTGTCCATTTTTGAGAAAATGAAAGGATTTTAGTGTAAGCTTACAGCCGAAAAATACGGTACACGAGTTTTGTAAGGTGGTTTGTTTCGGTGCAGGAGGCTGTGAGACTTCGCGGTCCAGGATACAGGACGCAGTTTCACACACTCTTCATTTTGCACTTCATGGCGCTGTTGTAAATAGTGAAAATACCAGTAGTGCTCCAACCTTTAGTCGGGACGCTTTCTCAACATTCTCTACAGAATACACTGCTGCTCATCTGACACTCCAAATAATACTAATAATAATTAGTGCTGCGAGCGTTAATCTTGTTAAAATGACATTAAGGCCATAACTGCATTAACACAGTTAATGAGTTATCGCGGATCACCCCTTGCGTGGGGCTGGACTTTGTCAACGCATTAACGACCTAACCGCGCTAATATGGATCTCTAAATTACTAATTTTCAAATGTTTTCTTTTTACCGACCAGCTCCTCTTGTATAGTTGCAGTGTCCATCTTGTTATTGCCTGCAGGTGAAGCGATGGGGGAGGGGTAGTTGTGTTCAGTGAAGGAGAGAGGCGAGGCAGAGTAGCGTTGCTTAGAGACAAAAGTGGACGAAAGAGAGGCAAACTTGCGGGTCCACGAGTATAATCATAATGCAACATAGACTATATCGATATAAACAATATTGTCACATCTCATATAAAAATATATCGATATATACAGTGGGGCAAAAAAGTATTTAGTCAGCCACCGATTGTGCAAGTTTCCCCACCTAAAATGATGGCAGAGGTCAGTAATTTGCACCAGAGGTACACTTCAACTGTGAGAGACAGAATGTGAAAAAAAATCCATGAATTCACATGGTAGGATTTGTAAAGAATTTATTCGTAAATTAGGGTGGAAAATAAATATTTGGTCACCTCAAACAAGGAAAATCTCTGGCTCTCACAGACCTGTAACGTCTTCTGTAAGAAGCTTTTCTGTCCCCCACTCGTTACCTGTATGAATGGCACCTGTTTGAACTCATCATCTGTATAAAAGACACTTGTCCACACCCTCAAACAGTCAGACTCCAAACGCCGCCATGGCCAAGACCAAAGAGCTTTCGAAGGACACCAGGAAAAGTATTGTAGACCTGCACCAGACTGGGAAGAGTGAATCTACAATAGGCAAGCAGCTTGGTGTGAAAAAATCAACTGTGGGAGCAATCATCAGAAAATGGAAGACATACAAGACCACTGATAATCTCCCTCGATCTGGGGCTCCACGTAAGATCTCATCCCGTGGGGTCAAAATGATCATGAGAACGGTGAGCAAAGATCCCAGAACCACACGGGGGGACCTGGTGAATGACCTGCAGAGAGCTGGGACCAAAGTAACAAAGGTCACCATCAGTAACACACTACAACGGCAGGGAATCAAATCCCGCAGTGCCAGACGTGTTCCGCTGCTGAAGCCAGTG